ACACATACTACATCCCTTAATAATATATTATTTGGTCTTTCCCTATACCAGGGAACTGCTCAATGACAGTAGCATAGGTTTGAAAGTAAACACGTGTCCAGCTCTCTGATGCTTGGGACTGCATTTTCTTTTGTCTGACCACAGCTTATTATGTGAAACAGCATGTATTTTCCCAAATATCTCTGTAAAATGAAAGTAGTTGGGATTAGTGGTTAAAGCCATTTCATAGTGCTGCATTTTTTTCCTGAGGTCACTGCCTGAGGCAGAAATAGAGCTGACAGCATCCTGTTAAACATAACTTCAACTCTTATAAGCTGATTTAAGAATTCTGAATAAATTGGCCCCTACAAAATCCCCCATACTCTCTTCCCTGTACAAGCTACCTATTCACGTATTTATATAGGACCTAAAACCATAGTATGAAAGCTCCTTTACAAGTGTATCATTTAGTTATTTAAAAAAACCAGAAGCATGGATAACCTTTTTATTTGCTATAAGCATAAAACCAAGAGTTCAACTTCAAAATATAATGAAGAGATCGATGCACCATTTCCCTAAGATTGTGACATCTTGCTTCTTCCTGAGCTTCAGAAGGAGATGCTCTCATAATCTGGAAACCTCAGTGCATTTTTACCAAGATAATTTTAGATAGACCTGTTCAATAATAGTCTTCTACTTTATATTCTTTGAAGAGGTGTACGTTACACTTCTGTTCTTAATATAGTTTGCCACCTTTATGTGAAGGGGCCAAGTCTTGAGAGTAACAGCATAGGTATTTTTTTGGTCTAATTCTAAAATAATATATGATGATCTTAGAGAAATGTGTTGGGAAAATAAATATTTCCCATAGTCTCTTCTCAGTGAAAACTTGGGGAGACTGCCCAACCACAGTCTTTGGGCAAGTGGCAGGATCTGGTTCTACATAAGAAGCGCCTTCTAAAGTCAGACTTGTTTTCAAGTGTGGGTGTGACAAAGAACCAGCAATGGCATTTTATTCAATCTCTGACAGCCTCAGTTGCTCATTTGAAAATGGGGATAACCTACTTCATAAGGTTTTCATGAAGGTTGAGTGAGAAAATCTATGTAAAACATTTAGCAGTCCTAGGCTCAGAGTGACCATATGGTAACAGTAACATTGTTGGTATTGTTTGGCAGATTCTAGCCTAGATCTTGTTTTCTCTGAAACCAGTATGGCTCCAGGTCTATTGGCCTCTCTCCTTATTTTTAGCAGGAAAAAAAATCTGAGGAATACTATTGGCTCAACACGGACGGAGTCTGTATCTTATTCATCTTTGTATCTCTGAGATACAGCATATCAATTGAAACATTATAGGAAATCAATAAATATTTATTTAATTAAAATGAACAGAATTAAAGATGCTAGACCAAGAATGTGGCCACTTTGTGTCATAATCCTAGCAATATCATGTGATTATAGGGATATACTCACAAACATACGCATACATACACAATCACATGCACCACTTGTTACTACTGAGATCACTTTATCGAAGGAACCCAAAACCTAATATTAGTCCTTCATTTGACATAAAACCCCTAAATTAAAAAATCTCTGAATAATACTACAATGAGAATAAATTTCAGTCAAAACCCAATCCTAAGGAGAAGCACTTCCAGATTGGCAGAATAAGAATATTAAAAAATCTACTCCTTCATAAAAGCAGAGAGAACACTGGCAAAAATGGTCAAAGTCAACTTTTTCAGAACTCTAGAACTTAACCAAGGGCTGCGTTAATCCAAGGAGCATTTATTCAAGAAAAATTGCTGAATCTGAGTAAGAACAGTGAGATTTTTCACATTTTATCTTACCCCATTTCCATCCCTTTCTCCCCAACTCTGCAGTAGCCTTGAAAACCAACTGCCTCACAATCATGGTAGTTGTGAAAACTAGTATCAGTAGTAGAGGCAGAAAACAAGTTTGGAGATCCCCACAGGGGCCCATTCTTGGAGAAATATCACTATTTGAACTTTTTGGAAGCCCCCTGGAAATTCCCATTTTCTGGGCTTTTTTTTATTTGACCTGGGTCAGGGCTTACTCTGTATGAATGATTTGCCAGGGCATTTATAGCAAACAATTAGCAGTAAGTGTTTAATATTGCAGCTGCCTGGGCCACCATAACAGGGAAACAAGAGGTTGACCAACTTTTTAAACAAAAAGGCTGGAGAAATAAATGTTTGTAGGAGTCTTGGAAACACTGTCATATTCCAAGGAATATCAAAGAGCGTGTACATTTGGGGGGTTTTTTGCATGCCCAGGAAAGACTTGTGAAAGGGCCTAATTACTGACCTCTGGCTGACCTTAAGAACTTGTGCAAGCAGGAAGTTAAGGCTAAGGCAGAGTTTTAAACTTTCAGAGTGTTGACAATGCGCCCCAACATGCAGGCAGAGCCACTAGCCAAAGACTGGATGGCTTATTGCTTCAAGGCATTTAATCATTACCTGTCCAATCATTAGTTAACCACTAAGCTAAACAAGCAGACATCTGTGACCACACACAACAAAGCATGTAGACTTTATCAAATTACTTCAGAAAAGTCACTAAAACAGACAAACAACAAAAATAAACAGCAGCAACAATAAACCCTGAGGAGGAGGAAATTTGATTTCCAGAGTTTCCACATCATATTGTTTAAAATATCAGGATTTTGACAATGACAAAAAATAGAAAACATGAAAAGAAGCAGGACAATGTACAGAGCCTGTGAATATGTTATGTTACATAACAAGGTGGAATTAAAATCATAGATGGAATTAAGATTTCTAATCAGCTTAAGATAAGGAGATTTAAGATAAAGAGATTATCCTGGATTATCTGGGTGGGCCCAATGTAATCCTAAATCTTTAAGCTTGGAAGAGGAAGGCTAAAGGCTCAGGGTAAGAGTGATGTGATGTGAGAAAGGGACTCTCCCCTTGAGACACCAGAAGGAACCAGCTCTTTTGACATCTTGACTTCAGCCAAGTGAAACTGATTTCCAAGTTCTGGACTCTAGAATTGGAAAATAATAAATTTGTGTTATTTAATGCCATTAAGTTTGTGGTAATTTGTTACAGCAGCAAAAAGAAAACTAATACAAAAGTCTTGCACTACTATTGTTAAATTACTTCCTAACCATTCTATTCTTTTTGGTGCTACTTTTCAGATGATTCAATTCTAGGGTATAGAAATATAGGTGATTTTTGTGTATTGATCTTGTATGAATATACACCCTCATTTATTAATTTGAATATTTTTAGTAGATTTCTTATAATTTTGTATATACGAGATCATGTTCTCTGCAAAGATAATTTTCTTTTTCCTTTTTTTTCTCAATATGGATGACTTTTATTTCTTTTTCTTATCTAATTGTTGGTAAAACCTCTAGTATGGTGTTGAATAGGTGTGGCAAGAGCAGATGTCCTTGTCTTATTTTCTGATCGCAGAGGGAAAGTGTTCCATCTTTCACCATTCGTATGATCTCAGTTGTGAGTTTACTGTAGATGCCTTTCTTGGGTTGAGGAAGTTCCCTTCTATTGTCAATTTGTTGAGTGTGTTTATCATGAGAGGGTATTGGATTTTATTAAATGCTTTTGGTGTAAGTGTTAAGATGCTCATGTAGTTTTCATTCTTTATTCTATTCATATCATGTTTTACATCGATTGATTTTTATATGTTGAACCAACTTTGCATTTTTGGAATAAATGCTAGTTGGTCATGGTATATAACCCTTTTAATATGTTGCTCAATTAACTTTGCTATTATTTTGTTGAGGATGTTTGAGTGTATATTCATAAGAGATGTATGTCTGTAATTTTCTTGTGATGTCTTTGGTTTTGGAATCAGGACAATACTGGCCTCACAGAATGAGTTGGGAAGTATTCCCTCTACTTGCATGTTTCAGAAGAATTTGTGAAGGATTAGTGGTGTTAATTCTTCTTTAAAGATTTGGCAAAACTCTCCAGTGAAACCATCTGGTCCTGGGTTTTTCATTGTTGAAAGGTTTTGATTACTAATTCAATTTGAAGAATTTGTCCATTTCATTTAGGTTATCTAATTTGTTGCCATATTTATTGCCATGTTATTCATAGTTTCCTTTATAATCCTTTTTAATTCTATAAATTTGGTAGTCATGTCCCTCTGACATTCTTGATTTTAAAATTTTGAATCTTCTTTCTTTATATGTTGATCAATCTAGCTAAAGATTTGTCAATTTTGTTGCTCTTTTCAAAGAACCAATTTTTATTATTGATTTTCTATATTTTTTAATTATCTATTTTATTTATTTCTACTCTAATATTTACTATTTCTTTTCTTCTGCTTGCTTTGGATTTAGTTTTCTCCTTTTCTACTTTCTTAACATAGAAAGTTAGGTTAGCATTTGAGATCTTTATTCTTGTTTAATGTACCATTTACAGCTAGGAATTTCGTCTAAGGAATGCTATAGAAGCATTCCGTAAGTTTTGGTTTGCTTTGCTTCTATTCATTCATATCAAAGTATTTTCTGATTTTCCTTATAAAATTTCTTCTTTGACCCATTGGCTACTTAGGAATGTGCTGTTTGATTTCCACAAATTTGTGAATTTCCCAAATTTCTGTCACTGCTTTTTATTTTAATTGTAGTTAAAGAACATACTTTGTATGATTTAATTCTTTTAAATTTGCTGAGGCTTTTTTTACACACTGACATACTATCCTGATGAATGTTTGATGAACATGTGAATATATTTTGCTATTGTTGGGTGGGATCTTCTATAGATGTTCTGTTAGGTCTAGTTGGTTTATGGTGTTAGGTCTTATATTTCTTTATTGCTCTTCTGCCTTGTTATTTTATCCATTATTAAAAATGGGATATGGGTGTCCCCAAATATTATTGTTGAATTATTAAATTAATTCTGTTACTTTTTGCTTTATACATTTTGGATTTTATCTTAGTTTTTTAATACTAATGGAACAAATTACTACAAACATTGGCTTAAAACAGCAAAAATTCATTATCTTATAGCTCTGAAGGTCAGAAGTCAGAAGTCTCACTGGGCTTAACTGGATTGTACAATACTACAGCCACTTTGGAAAAGTAGGTTGACACTTCCTCAAAACGTTTAATACAGAGTTACCGTATAACCCAGCAATTCTACTCATAGGTTTACATCCAAGAAAATTAAATGCATATATCCACACAAAAATCTGTATACAAATGTCTATAGCAGTATTATTTGTGATAGCCAAAAAGTGAAAATAATCCAAATGTCCGTCAACTAATGAACAGAAAAATAAAATGTGGTATATCCATACAATGGAGTATTTTTTTCAGCAGTAAAAAGGAATGAACTACTGATAAATGCTGCAATATGAATTAATGTTGAAAACATGTTAAGTGGTTACTAGGGACTAGAAAGAGCAGAAAATGGGGAGTAACTAGTGAATATAAGTTCTTGTTGGGTGTGATGAAAGTGTGCTGAAATGAGATAGTGGTGATGGCTGCACAACTCAAGGAATATACTTAATACCATTGAATTTACGTATTAAATGGGTGAATTTTATGATGTTTATGAATTATATCTCAATAAAGCTCTATTTTAAAAACCACTCAAACGTTTATCTACAAATGGCATTTAGCAAAACCCTGACTGATGGTGTTGTAGGGGGATAAAGAAAGTCACTTGTGAAATTTTAAAGGGTTTAATATATATCCTTCTTATGAAAGTCCATCATTTCTATTTTTTAAATATTTTAATAAAACAAGTACTGTGTATTTTATAATTTTAAATTGATTAATATTTTGAACATCATTCTGGATGTAGGACACAATGAAATAATTTTTGTATACTATCCCCATCCAAACAGAAACCCCGTTTAGTCTCTGCAGTAATATATATATGTATATGTAATGTTCTATTTTAAGTTTGTACTATTTTATACTTACTTCCATGGTATATGAATGGCCATTATTTTCAATCCTGAATTTTAATATTTTTTCCCAAGATCTTGGATGTCTAATGAGTATGCCATTGATGTTTGAAACTGCAATTATTGGGGCTGTCCTGGTGCTATAGTGGTTAAGTTCATGTGCTCTGCTTCTGTAGCCCAGGGTTTGCAGTTTGGCATCCTGGGCATGGGCCTACGCACTGCTCACGAATCCATGCTGTGGTGGCATCCCACATACAAAAAACAGAGGAGGATTGGCACAGATGTTAGCTCAGGGACAACCTTCCTCAAGCAAAAAGAAGAAGCTTGATGATAGGTGTTAGCTCAGGGCCAATCTCCCTCATCATAAAAACCCACCAAAACCTGCAATTATTCATGAAACTCATCTCTTTTTGTATATTAGCTATTTGCATGTCTTCTTTTGGGAATAGGTTAACACTTTTTCTATTTTTTAAAACTTCTATTTATTTATAATAATCCTTTATTTGTTAAATATAATCATTTTATATTATGTAATATATAGAGTTCTCCCAAACTTACTTTTCAAATAAATGTTCACTAATGGAGTGGTTTGTTTGTTTGATAAATGTCTTTGCTTATAGTTTTTGTTGTTGTTATTGTTTGATATTAAATCTTTCCAAAAGTTTATGTAGTATTATCTACCAATCAATCATCTTTATAATGCTTTCTTTGCCCAAAGTTACATAAAAGCTTTTATTTCACCATTTACTCTTCTGTTTTATGGTTTTATTTTTTTTTTAATTTCACCATTTAACCAACTTATTTTATTCTGAATATAATGAAGGAACATAGCTATTTTTCTTTCCATTAAGTACAACATGAAGTGTAAGTTTGAATTAAACTTCTTTTTTATTATCTATCTTTATTGTTGAGATTTATTTTGACATCAGATGTTTAAACAACTCTATGGTTAGTCAGTGATATCATTTACTGCTAGTATTTTTATACCAATATTCCCCATTCTTGAGTTCTTTTTTTGGTTCACTCCTAGTGATTATTGAATTCCCTTCAAACATGGATCCATAGTATTTCTTAATTCAATGATTCTGAAAAAAACCACATTTTTTTCATTTTGAGTAAAAACTGTTAAATCTAATCTTTGTTAAATCTAATCAAGGCATTTTTATTCATATTATTTTACTAATTAATTTTTCGGATCCATCTTTTTGTTTTCTCTTTTTGGCATTACTTGTAAACATACATGTTATTTCCCAAGTCTATCATCTGTTTTTATAAACCTCATCTAATTCGTCTCTTTGCCCTTCTCTCAGTTAGGGGCAAAGTTAAAAAATTGATTTTTTGCCTTACTAATTAACATTTATAAAATAATATTTATGTTTGGATTTTTTTCCCTTGCAGATTTTAATGTAATAATTGCATTTTCCATTACCACATGGGAGAGACCTGTAGTTATGGTTCTTTTAATTGTCTGTCAACAGTTAAGCCCCACATGTAACTCAGTTTAAGATTATTCCCCTGGAAAACTGAGAAGCAGCCTTCACTGCACTATTTTGTCTCCAGGTTCCAAGTTCACACCCATGTCTGTCACCTACCACTGCCAATATTGAGACCCACTCTCAAAGCGCTCTAATTAGACCCATACGAAAATAGCTTATTTCACGTCCTTAGAGCTGTCATTGTATGCAATCCTGCTCTTTTTACCAGATATCAAGATTTGATTCCAGTCTGACTGATTGCGTGGCAGGCTAATATGCAGTTTCCACATATATAATATATGTAGTTCAGGGATTCATACTTGGCAGGCTTGACAGAATACGGTAGTTCCCATCCACATTTTTTTTCTTTTCCAACTTGGGATACAAGAGTGAGATAGCTTGGAAGGCACATTCTTGAGCCAGCCTGAGCTCCCCTGAGTCTTCAGCTAGCTTTGATACATGTTCAGGAAATTGTGACACTTGCCTTATCTGACCAAGCTAAGAAGGTGCCCACAGCCTTCTGGATGGGTGGGCCTCACATGGTACTTATCCAATTAGCTGAAAACATTTGAACATGCGGAACTGATACATTCAACATAACAAAATACATATTCAATGTATACAGAAATTATAGTTTCCAATTCCTTCCCTGAGTGGGGTTTATCATCCTGTATCCCCTCTTTACAAATGCCCCTATCCTCCAATCCACTACCTGATCCTCATTTCCAATTTTTCCTACCTCACTACGACTTTCTCTAACTTCATAGATGCTAAATTGTTTAATGCTAAGTTGTCTTGAACATTGTGGAAATATGATTCAGCAGTTTTCTAATTTTTTTTCTCCTTTTTTTGTCAGTGAATAGATTTCAGAGAAAGCTGTTTTCTTTGATTCCTTAAAATTGTTTCCTTCTTCTGACTTTTCATGTCATTTCAAGGATCTCGTGATTTAAGGGAAAAAATGAGATAAAGAAGAAATAACTTAATTGGAAACTTGTCGAAGTGTGCTGACTTCTTACTTATTTTATATTCCCCTTTCAGAAAGAAGCCTTCAGGCTGCATGAGCTGTCTGCTTCTCTTAGTCCTTTACCAAAAAGGAAGGACTACTTCTGAGGTTTTGTGACCCATTCAAATCAGAGGGAGCTCCCACTGGGTATTCTGCTTATAATTTAGACACTTGTTCCAGGAACACACCCTTTGCTGCAATGATCTGTTATGACAACTAGTCCCATAAATTCCCCTCTGTTCTCTAAGGGGTTTTCCAGGCTCTTTTTCTGAGTGCTTCTTAATGCTACTGTTTTTTTCCGAAAGGGAAACTGCAAACCAGACCTTTATGCATTCTTCCAATCAATTTGGTGCGTGGTATACTCAGCAGACTTTCCTTGAAATCTTGGGCATTTGATGGCAAGTTTCCTAGTTTTCAGGCTTAGAGCATGCTGTCCCTTGTTTTCATCTTTTCCTGGTCATTCTTATAAACTCTGTGTGTGGGAAGTTAGAAGCCTGGGCCTATGTCATCATCTTACTCAGAAGCCCATATTTGTTTTTAATAGATGATTAAAATTGACCTTTAGGGTCACTTTCATTCTTGAGTTTTTATATAAGCAAATTTTGCCCTTGGACTATTTCCGTAGGCAGGAAGTCTTTAGGTCAAATAGATGCTGTCAAAATAATGACTCCAGGAACTGTTAAATGTCATGAGCAACTAACATTTTGCCTCTAGTTAAACCAAAAATCATTCAGCTGTATCTAAGCTGTAAAGAAATATTAGCCTGTGTGACCTAACCTTGCCGATCGATGGCCTGATTAAATTACAGAGGAAAGCTTGGCCAGTTACTGCAGTTTTTAGAAAATTTTGTTGCTTCACAAATATTAGTAAAGCTCACAGCTCTCCCCTCAGAAAGGCATTTTAATATATACAAAAGCCTTCTAGTTGAGAGGGTGTAACACCTTGAAAGACAACATCAAATCTTCAGATCAAGAGTTGTCATTCTGATTCTACAACATGCTTTGAGGTAAATGTGCGCCAGAGCCGTATCCATATGGGCAAACTGGCTCATGGCATGGCTGTTCCACTCATTTTCAACTCTCTTTCTGAGACTACATCAAATGCTCAGCATGGGCAATCATAGAGTGATAATAGCCATTATAAAGACAGTGAGATGACAGCAGCAGGTTTTCAAACATAACTATTGTTACTGATAAATAGTGAACAATATAAAAGTATTAATAACATAGTAAATATACCATTGTTTTAATTTTCTTAGCATCCTTGTCAGAGAGGATCAAACATTTTTCTTAAATACGTTTCATTCACCGATGAAAAACAATGACAAAGACTAAAGCAAATCATAACTTATGAAGGACTAACTAGAAAAAGGTAAAGCTTAAGGCAGAACAACCAGGTAGACTACTGCAATAGTCCAGGTGAAAATGTGCAAGACTTACCAACCTTTTTCAATCTGGATTCCTCAAGGGAATTAAGCCCTAGAGAAAATTATTTGAGTGACACTCTCAATTATCCAATTCTGGATATATAGGAGATAAGTTAATGTGTTACATTCAGTGGGTGCATTAGGATGTTAAGGCTTAATTCTCTTGCAAGAGCCCTGATTGAGAAGGTCCAGCCAAGGCCCAGTGAGTAGTGACAGAAAAAACAATGACTTATAAAGACGTATAAGAGATGGACTCAATAAGA